GAAAGTATTAACCATACATGGTCTTTTGGTTAAGTATAGTAACTTTTGATAAATTGGAAAAGGGGATTTTAAGAGGTGGCTAGTACTTGTTAGTTTATGTCAAAGTGTGTGTCACTGAGAAAGGTTGAGTGGGATCTTGAGGTAGTAGTGTTTGAGATAGGTGAAGGGTATATCTAGTAATCTTCAGGTTCACTTATTTACCCACTATATAATATAGGAAGTTCACAGTGGACCAATGTTATTGTGTTTATAACCTTGGTTTGGTGGCACTCCCTTTCCATGCTCTCCAGGAGCTGATAGGTCAGTGTAAGTAGTACAACCCTACAGGTAGTGTAACATGGGAAAAAGTGGAGAGGTGTGGAGATTCTGTACCACACCATGTAATCCATCCTTTACATTGGTCCCCTGAGGGTAAATGGGCAGTAGGAATGGAGGCATGAGGTGAGAAGGGGCTTCTAATCAAGGGAGGGGTTGCTGAGCTGGGGGAAGGGAAGCTGCTGATAGTCACTGGTCTACTGAGTTCCAGGTTCTCCGGAGGAGCATGGGGAAATTTCGTGTGTTTTTAAAAAATGAAAAAATTCAATTCAGACCTTGCTTTTGATTTACTAGGGCATTCCTTGTTAGTTTCTGGCTGAGACTGGCCAAGTCTATCTGATGACAACTTTTTCCTTCAACTACAATATCTAGACACCTTAAAATCCACCTGAAATCATTTAAATATCTATATATTAAGGTATGATCAAAGACAAGCTGCAATGGAAAGTTTCAGATGCAATGCCACATTATCCTAAAATTTTCACATGTACCTAGAATGGGTTGTGGTATCATGCAGGATTTATTTCTATTAAATGGGAGAAATGAACATGTAATTATATGCAAATGAGAAATAAGCAGTAGTGAAAAGAAAATTAATGCAGTAGAGAGAGAGACAGGAAAATTATTGGAGGATTGTCTCAAAGTTGATGAAAAGGAAGTGGATTGTGTGTGCACATGAGGGAGTCAGCTTTCTTTAGGAGCAAAAATGCTTTCTTTATTCCTGGTAAGGAAATCAGGTCCACATATTTAGGAACAGGTCTGCTGTGGTAGAGGGGTTATATTTAGCTATCAGATAGTGTTGATTTACTCAGAAAAAGAAAGTGAATGAGAATTGTAATAAGAGAGTTATAGGGGAGAGAAGAAGGTATGAAGTATTCAATTAGGTAACTGAGTGGTTAAATATACTGGGAATGGTAATCATGACACTGAGAGCCCTTTTGAGGTTAATAATATAGATCAATTTGGCTGTGTAAAAAAAGTTTCCAGTTTGATTGTCTGTGTGTAGTTCCAACCACATAACTGTGTATATGAATTAATGTCACAGTTGTCTATGAGACCATTAGCATAATTTTGTCTAAACCAGTGGGCACAGCTGTATACAGAAGCAGCTACATGATCATCTGCAGAGGTCTCAGTCAGGGGTGTGTTTGGAGATTAGAGGAAGAACATTGACATTTCTTTTTTTTAAAATCATTTTATTGGAGACTCATATAACTCTTATCACAATCCATACATATATCAATTGTGTAAAGCACATTTGTACATTCATTACCCTCATCATTCTCAAAACATTTGCTCTCCACGTAAGCCTCTGGCATCAGCTCCTCATTTTCCCCCTCCCTCCCCACTCCCCCC